GCCTGCCAATACCCTCTCAAAATTTCTGCTTTCAACTGCTCTTTTTCCCAACCACAATACCCATCAAAGAATCTTACCTCACTTCTTCCCACCAAATTCCTCTTCACCATCTCTGCAGCCAACCTTACGGTTACGGGGCACGTGCCCCCTACTCTTTTTCATTTTTCCTAAACAACTAAACTAATTTGATTAATTTGTTCTTCGTTTAGTGAATAAACAAAAGAGTGCCCCATGTTAATAATGTTTTTGTTTTGTTTTTGGTACTGTGCCCCCAACCTTATATCCGCCACTGGTACGATCCTTTCCTCACTTTTCTGAACACTCTGCTCTTCTCCACCTCGTTGTCTTCTTCATTCCTTGGACTCACCAGAAAAAACCCTTCTTCCAAGGGTCCACCAAAGAAGAGTCTCTTGTCTGGAATAGTTTGTTTGTCAACAATAACTTGTTTGTCTATGGAAAAAATAGTTCGGATTCAACTCATACATAATATCAATATTTTATATCTTTAAATATAACTAAAATATTAAAATTGTTGTGTAGATACTTTATTTCTTTTGTTCAAAAGCATAAAATGGGCTTTGGTCTATTAAGAAAATTAAATTTATGATTGGAGTAAGCTTTCTTAACGAGTAATATATGCTATGAATTAAATTAATTGTAAGATATAGTTTTAAATCCAAAAATCAAAAGATTTGAATGTCATTTATAAAAATTATAATTTTCTTTGTAAAAATAAGAACACTTTAGGTAATAAGTTTTAGGAGATAAAGTGAAATGCCAATCAACTTGGTAAGAAACTCATTTGATTAGATATGAAATATGACATTAGTAGACTATTGAAACATGACTATCATTTTCTAGGCTACAACAAATGGTTTTCATTAGTGTTTCTGTAAATTTGGAACAATGTGAGCACAATTGTCCTTAAGAAGAGGTGGGAAGAAAGGGTTCAACGGGAACATATGAGGCCAACAGTTAGCATCAATGGTCGAAAACGCCTTGCAACATGCGATTCCAACGTTTCCAAACTTGCCAGAGAAAACAGACTCAAAGAGTTGGAGTACACATCCATTGACGTTAAAGAGTGATGACCAACATTTCTCTAAGTCGACAGGAAAAGTAAGTGGAGGTTTTGGTTGATCGTGAGCTGCTCCTGGAGTGACCAAAACCGCAACACATAAAACTGCAGCTAACAAGACTAATGCTCTTGATGTTTGTTCCATTTCTTAAATTATATTTCTTCTTTTCTCTTTAAGACTCTTAGATTGTTTGGAATCACATGATAACAAGGTTAGAATTTATAGAGTGAGAAACATGCATTAGTAACAACAAGTAGACTTAATTGTATTCAGAGACAATTAAGTTGTTCAAAAGTAACTCTTAAATTCTTAATATGTAAATCCATTATCTATCAGGTTGTTCAGAAGTAACTCATGCTAGTGTTTCAAGAAAAAGTAACTCATGCTATGTAATATTGTCAACGCTATTGCAACATATATTTAGGAAAATGTTTTGATTATAATCAAATTTCCGTTTGAACGCCACCTAACTCAATTTTTGGAGCATTGACTATGTTTGTAAATCTTTTAAATTGTTCAGAAGTAACTCATGCTATGCAACATAAACACCTTCTTCTTCTTTTGTAACTTGTGTTTTGCGTTGGAAGATATATTAAAACATGTATCTTAATGAAACAGACGAAGTATGTAATTATATCATAAGCTTGGGAGTTGGGATACAAGTTAAAACAAAAAACCTTTAGAGGGGTTAGTGTATACTAACTACCATTAAAAATATCATTGTCTAGAGTTTAATATGGTGTTGTTTTCACCAAATATTTAAAATGGTAGATGGTATCTGATTTGTTGATGGTGATGTTGCAGAGGTTCGTTGTCTAGGTTTCTTTTAAATATATATATTTTCCACTAATAATTAATATCATAAACTTGAGCTACAAATTTGAACAGAAATATAATTATCACACGGAATATGATTTTTTTCTTATTTCCTTTACACACAGACTGTGTAGAAACGTAGAAGAACATAACATTTAGAGTTGATTTCGATTAACACATACAAACGACATGCTGTAAAAACTCTTCATCAGCCAGTAATTTCTCCAAAACGTGAGACCATAAAGACGTATGAATCTCCATGCTTCCTTGTTCAGTTCCCGGGTAAACAAGAATTTTACCATGGCCAGCAATACCCGGTCCAGCTCTAACCGCAATCGGTTTACCCCAACCAAAATCGTGTCCGAACACATTGAACCGTGGAGAGCTAGCAACAACGAGCGAATTATTCACCACCAAACCATTAGGTATTTCCGGGTTTTTAACCCAACTCTCAGCAACCCGTTTGAATTCTTCATTCGTTTGTGACCTCACAGCTTTGTTAAGTTGCATAGCAGCCCAACTGAGTTCATTGTTAAGCATTTCCCAAGCTGTTGTGGTGGCCGTCACCAGTCCAACCATGTTTCCAAAACATTCTTTATCCATCGGAGGTTTTACTCTCTGTCTCATATCCATCGCCAACTTGCAATGAATCACCTCTTCCGGATTGAGACCACTGTTTCTGATTATTGACCGCCACATATGCGCCAACACGGCTTGAAACGAAGAGATTTTTTTATCCTCGCCGTTGGATTGAGCTTTAAGCTCAGTGATGTGTCTACTCGTGAAGCGAAATATCTTTTTTTCTAGAGAGGAAGCAACACCCCCAACAGGTGTTGAAGCTGTCAACGAGATAGGAAGTTGAATCGGGTAATCAATCCCATCGAGAAACCACGGACGGAGAGACAAAGGAGGCATTGTTTTCCGGTTAAAACCGGTAGAACAAATCTCCGTCCATGTTTTGAAGAAACTCCAGAAGGAAGTACCGTCAGCAACCAAATGGTTAACGCCATATCCTATGAAAACTCCATCTTTTAACTCCGTTACTTGGAACGCAAGTAACGGCTCCGAGACCCCTTGCCAGCTTTCAACTCCGTTACTTGGAAAAAACTCACTCCAATATTCATAGCCTGGCTCTAAAACATCGCTCACGGAGACAGTTTTAGCAGCTGAATGCACGAATTTGACACCTGAACCACCATCGCAATCTACGTAAAACGACGCCGTTTCGTCGTCTTGGTTGTGGTTCTTGACTAGACGTCCAGCGAATGGGTAGAAAATCTTCAACGCTACGGAAAGAGAAGACTTCAGCTGAGAGATCATGTGGGTTTCTTGGTCGGGTTTGGGGAAGATAAGAGCTCTTTGAGCGTATTCGGTTCGAAGGAAGAAGAGATCCCATGGAGTGAGATGGATGTTAACCCGTTCTGATCCAACCTCGGAGGTCTCTGGTCGAACAATGGTGTCAGAGATGACTACAACAGCTGCCATTTTATTTATTTATTTGATAACAACGTGAATGAGGAATGTGTATGTAAAATGATTCAGTCTCACCTAACCTAACATTTAAAAATAAAACTACCACGTGGTCTTAGCCATATGGGCCATAAATTTGTGGTGAAATCGAGATTCTCTTTAGAAATAATCAATGTAACATTTTGTTTTTTTGGAAAGTTAACATAAAATAAACAAACGATGGTTTTTATACTAAACACAATATTTTGAAAATCGGATGGGACACCGACTCAATATAGCTATCTATTGACTGATTGAACCGGTTCAATCGGTCGAACTATATTTTCTATTTTTTTTTAAAGTTGAATATATATATATATATATAATCATAAATTTACATTATATAGACTTAAAAGTATTTCTATATATAATATATTCACTTTTCTCTTTATTAACTAAAAATAAAAAATAAACATAAATTTAACTATATATAGTGTAAACAAGTGATTACTATGTAAAATTAAAATTGATAAAAATTAAACATTGGTTTTTCAAATTACCGTATTTATTTATTACAACTAAAGTCTCAGATTTTATATATATATATATCAAAATAAAATAATATATAAAACTAAAAATATATTTGTTTACATTCATCTTAAGAAAATATGATTAAACAGAAAATCAATTAAATACTAACATTCAAACATTGATTATAAAATATTATATTTTAATAACAATTCAAAATATATGAATTATATGTTAATTTTTAGAATCGAGTTTTAAAATTGATTCGGGTCATCGATTTTATCGGGATTTTACCAATTTTTCCAAATCCAAATTTTAAACCAGACTATACTAACGAGTCACGGCGGACCGGTTCGACCGATCGGTCCGGCCTGTTTTCAAAACCATGACTATAATTCATAAATCTAAATATTAATTTCTCTTTTATTAAATATAGTTTTGAAATGATATAATTTTTTAAAGAGTAAACTATAAAGTTTAGGATTTTAAATTTTGAAACTACATGATAAAATTAAAAACTTCATGAAGAATTTAAAATATCAATAAAATAAATAAAATCCCATTTAATTTAATATTTTAAAACATTAAGATTTCCAAAAAAAAATTGAAAATAAGTAAAAAATCTTTAAAATTAAGGTAAAGTAAGAAAAAATCATTAAAATAATTAACTTGATATAGAGAAATTGATTAATATACGCCAACTTGGTTACAACTTTTAAAAATACATGTAATAAAAAAAAATATCATCCTGATATAATAATCCTTTATGTTAATGTATGATAAAAATATTTACAAGAATATATTTGACATTTTACATGTATCAAAAATTTTAAATAGCTAATGAACAATTAGTTTAATAAATATAATTTCATAAATAAACATAAATATTAAAACAGAAAACTATATTTCAAAAAAAAAGGTATAAATCGGTTATATTTTTAGTTAAAAAACTATAAAAATTAAACTAAATTATTAATACAAACTAGCATGTATAAATTCAAGTAGTTTTGGTAAGGCATTGGCATCAATATTGGGTTCCGGAAATCCGAACCATAAGGATCACAAAACACCACATGAATGATACCCTTTAACAGAACAAAGAGTAATACAATAGGTTTATAAGAAGTGATGGTGAATTTTCAAACATAGAGCAAATTAAGATTAAAGAGATAAACTTACAAGATGTTACACACTTACACTCAGACTTGGTAGTTGGTATCGGATTCTCAGGTACCAAATGATTCTGCACTCCCTCCTTTGGAAGCCAGGTTACTCATGAGGTGCAAGAAGAATACCAAGCTTCAAAGAACAACACTTGTTACTATACCCCACAGGCTCAAGAAGATAACCAAATAGAACATCCAACTTTAGCTAAGACTCTATCACCATTAGTAGAAATGTATCTACTCCCACTTCAGCTCTTATCATGGAAACATCTCCATCAACCATTATCAACAAGGAGGTCCAAGAAACTTTCTATTGTTGATCCCTTTAACACATTGGCTCAGGTTAGTGAATTTCAGAATCCTTCTAGATTTGCTGTCCTAGGTGATGTAGACATACCCCCTGATGAACCAATGAGCTCGCTTGGGTTTACAAAGGGTGGGAGGGAGACAAGACCTCCAATCAAGTTCAAAGATCTAGAATGAAAGACAGCACAAGGGAGAGGTAAGCATCGCCATCGCGGCCGTGATAACTCTCTCTAGTTCCTTGATCTCATTTTTTCTCTTGGGTTTCAACTCTCTTAACCCTTGAGTGTTTCATAGCTTTGAGATATTATTTATCATGAATTGTATTCATGCAAATTTGTTCTCGCTATAAGGTTTTAAACCTTATCATGTAAGCGTTTTTCTTTGTAATTGAAAGCCCTTTTTCAGAAAAAAAAACTTTGCAGGTCATTCTCTGAGTTTTGGAATTAAAATTATTATTAAATTGAGTATAATTGAGTTAACTATAGAATGTTAAATATAATTTCTGCATAAATTAATCATTTTGTCTATGGATAAACAGTTTGGAATGAACTTATATATATATATATATATATATATATATATTTTATTACAATTTAGTATCAATATTTTATATTTAAAATATAATTAGTATTATTAAAGTTAAAATGTAGATAATTTATTTCTTTTGTTCAAAAGCATAAAATGGGGTTTGGCCTATTAAAATTAAATTTATGATTGTTGGGGGGAGCTTTGTTAACAGATAATGGATCGTGCAGTGAATTAAATTAATTGTTAGATACTCCCTTCGTTCTATTTTATTTGTTATTTTAGAGAGAAAAATTCGTTTCAAAATAAGTGTTGTTTTATAATTACAATACAAAATTTATTAGTTTTATATACTTTTCTATTTTTCTATTGGTTAAAATATGGTTAGGTATAGATAATTGTGTTTTTATTTTGAAAATATGTAAAATTAATGATTTCTTAATCTCTGTGTACAAACTTAAAATGACAAATAAAATGAAATGGAGAGAGTATATTTTAAGCCCACAAATCAAAAGATTTAAATGTCACTAATAAAAATTACAATTTTCTTTGTAAAAATAAAAAAAATTAGGTAAGATTGTGTTTTTCATTAAGGCCATAAACATGAATGATCATATCTAATAGTACTGATTAGGCCATAAAGCAAAATGCGAATCAAATTGGTAAGAAACTCATTTTATTAGATATGAAATATGACATAAGTAGACTATTGAAATATGACTATCATTTTCTAGGCTACAACAAATGGTTTTCATTAGTGTTTCTGTAAATTTGGAAAAATGTGAGCGCAATTATCCTTAAGAAGAGGTGGGAAGAATGGGTTCAACGGGAACATATGAGGCCAACAGTTAGCATCAATGGTCGAAAACGCCTTGCAACACGCAATTCCAACGCTTCCAAACTTGCCAGAGAAAACAGACTCAAAGAGTTGGAGTACACATCCATTGACGTTAAAGAGAGACGGCCAACATTTCTCTAAGTCGATAGGAAAAGTAAGTGGAGGTTTTGGTTGATCGTGAGCTGCTCCTGGAGTAACCAAAACCGCAACACATAAAACTGCAGCTAAGAAAACTAATGCTCTTGATGTTTGTTCCATCTCTCTGATTGTTTAGTTTGTATCCTTCTTCTTATTCTCTTTAAGATCTTGGATGTTTTGGATATGACATGATAACAAGTTTGAATTTATAGGGTGAGAGACATTACTAATTAACTACAAGTATTATAGAATTATTTGCAAAAACAATAAAGTTGTTCAAAAGTAACTCTTACTAAAAAAATTAATAAAAGAAACTCTTACTAAATTTATTATCTATTAAGTTGTTCAAAAGTAACTCTTACTAACTTCATTATCTATTAAGTTGATCAGAAGTAACTCATGTTCTGTAACATTGTCAACGGCTACGTTTTTGGGTTTGAACATGTTTCAAAAATTTGTTACTTCATAACCGATTTACTGACTAGGCGATATCTAAACAGATGTTTGGAACACTGGTTAATCCATTCTCTATTAAGTTGTTTAGAAGTAACTCATGCCATGTAACACAAACACCTTCTTTTTTGTCAACGGCTAAGTTTTTGGTTGGAATATGTTTTTATCCAACATAGAGTATATAGACGACTAAAAAAAGAAAGTAGAAACATACTCATACTCATAAATTAGTGATGAATCCTGAATGCATACATTGATAAAACATACACTACGTAGTCATGACTCACTAATACAAACCATTAGTAAAAAACCATTACAGAAAACAAGAGTCAGTTTGAGGACCAATAAGCCCAACACCCTCATCTCAAAGACCATTACTCTGAACAGCAGACCCAATCTCAACAACACTTGAGCTACAAGCGGCCACAGTCCAATACCCTCTCAAAATTTCTGCTTTCAACTGCTCTTTTTCCCAACCACAATACCCATCAAAGAATCTTACCTCACTTCTTCCGACCAACTTCTTCTTCACCATCTCTGCAGCCAACCTTACGGTTACGGGGCACGTGCCCCCTACTCTTTTTCATTTTTCCTAAACAACTAAGCTAATTTGATTAATTTTTGTTTTTTTTTTTGGTACTGTGCCCCCAACCCTATATGATTCTAGATCCGCCACTGGTACAATCCTTTCCTCACTTTTCTGAACACTCTGCTCTTCTCCACCTCGTTGTCTGGAATAATTTTGTAACGACCCGAATTTTGGTTTCAAAAATAATTAACCGGTTAAGCCCAAACTCATTCCCGAAAGCCCATTGTTTACCTATATATACCCATTTCCCAGCCCATTAGATTATTTTCTGCAGCCAAAAGAAAATGAGAGAGAGAGAGAGAGAGAGAGAGAGAGAGAGAGAGAAAGAGAGAAGAAGCCATGGGAAACCTATCAAGAATCAACCACCAGAGCTGCCACGACCACCGCATGCCGAGCACATGTCGAGCTAATCATCACCATTCGCCATGGTGGGAAATCGTCGGAAACCGCCGGGAATTAGAGTGAGTTCAAGCTTTGTTTTGTTCGTTTAGTAAATCGTCGATAACTTTTGAACCGTTAGAATCTCGCGCATGCAAGGCCACCATCGTGTTCTACTCGTCAGGACGAAGCCTTACACCCTGACCACGCCGCAATTGGAACCTAGAGGAGCCATCACACGCCCCCACAAGTTTTGCCGTTCGCGTGCGTGGCACACACGCGCCGCCGCACTGCCACCGCCGGACCATCGCCGGACCATTGACCTCTGCCGGTAAGCAGTCGCCGCCCTCCGCCGTCGCCGGCGACTCGGTCGAGTCGACTCGGTGAGTCAACTCGGTTGACTCGGTCAACGATTGGTTTGACCGGTTTAAATTGATTTTGGTTTGGTTAAGGTAAACCGGCAGTTAAAATCGATTGAATTTTGGTTAGGAGTAAACCGATTTGTAATTGATTTGGATCCGGTTCAATTGAAATCGAATCCGGTTAAGGAAAACCGATTGGTCCAATTCGATTTCAATCTGGTCAATGGTTGACTGGCTTGGGTCAGAGTTGACCGGGTTGCCTTTGACAAGAGGGTTGACTTTTCCGTAGACACCCGTTTTTGACCGTTCGAATGGCGTTCTGACTCGAAATTTTGATTTGATTTCAGATTTGTGATCTATTTGAGCAGATGGAGATCATAGATACCACTTCTCTCAATTTCTAAGGTGAGGGTCTACTTCCGAACGTTTCGTATCCGACTTAGAACTTTAAATAAATATATTTTATTTCTTTTGTGTTTTGTCTGTGTGAATTAAGTCTTTTAGGGTCTGATTGGAGTCTCTTTGATTAGTTATTTAGGCTCTTTTCTAAACCGGAATTAGGGTGTCAGATGGTTCAACATTGATTGCGTCGCTTAATTTAATCATTTAGTTAGAATTGCTTGGGACGGGTACATAGACGTAATTCTGTATGGTCAGGTGTATGTGGGCTACAGACAGCTGCAGTCGACCGGCTGGGTCGTAGTTCGTTAGGTCGATAAATCGTCTTCAGGCGGTGTTACTGGGCACTATCCCAGCGTTTTGGCCTGTTAGTGGGCAGCGAGTAGGTGGCTCGCTATGACCATTGTTTGTTTTCCTGGGTACTCTAGGTACCGTGTTTGACATGCATTATATTTATTCGGAGTGCTATGTCCGGGTCTACGGACTTCGGGGTAGCATCCCATACCTCACTGAGTGACTCCCCAGTCGCTCACCCCTCTTTCTTCCCATTTCAGGTGAGACAAACAATCAAGTGATATTTGGACGGACTTGGTGCTATAAGACTTTTTATTCGGATTTTTATTTGGGCTTGGGAGAGAGTAGTTGGGCTAAGGGGCTTGTATGTTTTTGGATATTATTGGTGGCCCGTCGTCCTTAGAGAGAGAGAGACATGTGTCACATTATTATTTGATGACGCGTTGGGGATGACACGCTGTACTCCACGTAGGAGGTGACGGGTGTTACAAATTTGTTTGTCAACAATAATTTGTTCGTCTATGGAAAAAATAGTTTGGATTCAACTCATATATAATATCAATACTTTATATCTTTAAATATAATCAAAAATATTAAAATTGTTGTATAGATAATTTATTTGTTTTGTTCCAAAGCATAAAATGGGCTTTGGTCTATTAAAAAAAAATTAAGATATTAGAGTAAGCTTTCTTAATGAGTAATATATGCAATGAATTAAATTAATTTTAAGATATAGTTTTAAGTCCAAAAATCAAAATATTTGAATGTCATTTATAAAAGTTATAATGTTTTTGTAAAAATTAGTACACTTTAGGTAATAATTTTTAGAAGATAGACCGAAATGCCAATCAACTTGGTAAGAAACTCATTTTATTACATATAAAATATGACATAGTAGACTATTGAAACATGACTATCATTTTCTAGGCTACAACAAATGGTTTTCATTAGTGTTTCTGTAAATTTGGAACAATGTGAGCGCAGTTGTCCTTAAGAAGTGGTGGGAAGAACGGGTTCAACGGGAACATATGTGGCCAACAGTTAGCATCAATGGTCGAAAACGCCTTACAACACGCGATTCCAACGTTTCCAAACTTGCCAGAGAAAATAGACTCAAAGAGTTGGAGTACACATCCATTGACGTTAAAGAGAGATGACCAACATTTCTCTAAGTCGATAGGAAAAGTAAGTGGAGGTTTTG